CTCACTGGCACCAAACAACAGCAACCCACTCCCCAAATGGTCAAATTACACACATACAAAAAAGCCCTTACACTTTAACCTAACTTTATTCTGTTTGTCATCTAGCAGCCTCTACCTTATAGCCAAAATATTTATTTCTATTGAACCTAAAAATGGTTTTGGGGCGGGGAGGGTGATAATCACAGGGTCGCACAGTTTGATGGGTGAAGGGAGGTGAGGTGTGAAGGAAATGGAAAAGATCTGGTATGAAACACAATGTATATGAGCTTTGTAAATAAACCAGTATAAAATAAAAATTAAAATAAAACTGAACGTAAAAAAAAAAAATTAAAAATTACTAGACACAAAAAGCTAAAAAAACCAAAACAACTGCTATACTTTATTGGAAGCAATGGGGAATGTAAAGAATCTTTCAACCATTTATTCCTATATCTTAACTTAGATATATAGACTATTACATATTTGTCTACAATTTATCAAGTTGCTTTTTGCAGATTTATATTATCAGAAATTAGTAGTATGATATCAAGTTATACTGTACAGAAATATTTACACTTGAATAACAAATAATAGTCTGCAATGACTTCATTTGTAATAGGCAGAAATGGTGTATCAGAACTAAAAAAAAATGGCAAAACCCATCAAAATTAATATACTGAACAGGTAAGGTAAGTGATGGACAATGCTTTTTTCCAAGATTTCCGTAAAAAATTTTTTAATTCATTTTAATGAAAGTTTACTTTGGATTTCCATTCATTCATTGTTGTACTTTTCTCCCTGCCCCCTCCCCCAATTTGTCCTTTTCTTTGAAAAGTAAAAGATAAATTCTTTCATTATTATACAATCCCTCCCCCTAAGTCCACTCCACTATGCAGCCTTCATTCTGGACTCCTATCATGACACTAATACCTAATCATATATCCCTTTTAAACAGTTCTCTCCATCATCTGTTTCAATGCAGTATACATTATTTATCCCATCTTTCTCAGTCTCCCCCAACCCCTATGTCAGTCCTCTTTTATAACAGTGGCATTATGCATTATTTGTCTTTTTGTGACTGAGATATTTAACTCATCATAATGTCCTCCAGGATCACCCATTTTGTATAATATTTCATGAGTTCCTTGTTTTTCAATGCTGCATAGTATTCCATTGTGTGAATATTCCAGAGCTTTTCTATCCATATTGTCAACAAAGCCGCAATAAACATGGGTGTGCATATATCTGCTTGGGTGGTAGTTATAGATTCTATAGGGTATATTCCCAGTAGTGGAATTGCTGGGTCATATGGTATTTCTATTCCCAACTTTTTGAGAAAGCGCCATACTGCCTTCCAGTTTCTCCACAACCTTGCCAGCATTTGTTGTATGCTGTTTTGTTAAATTTTGCTATTCTTACTGAGATGAGATGATGTTTCATAGTTGTTTTGATTTGCATCTCTCTTAGAGCTAGGGATTTTGAACATTTCTTCATGTTTGTTTGCCATCTGAATGTCGTCTTTGGTGAAGTGTCTATTCATATCCTGTGCCCATTTTTCAAGTGGGTTGTTTACCTTTATCGTGTTATGGTGTGATTTCTGTAAATTTTTATAGTTTTTCAATGAGAAAATATTTTTCATGTAAATAGCAGATAAACTATTACAGTATTTTAATACAAGTATCAGGTCCCCTCATCTTCTACATTTGTTTGCTAACTTCTTTTTTCTCTGGTGAGGTGTCTCCATAAGCATAATGTGCCATATATATATATATATATATATATACACACACACACACTCCTGAAATAAAATTTGCATAGCAAGTTTGCCAAAATAATTGGAAGATGGTGTAAGAGTGACTGATAAAGTAGAAGGCTAACTTATTTGAGTAAAAAGACGGTGTATGACATGGTTTTTCAATGAAAAATGTTTTACACTCACATGATACATACTTTCACATTAAGAAAGTTGATTCCTGTATCTCCTCACTTATATTAGCCACCAATATTAAAACCAATAGATGGTATACCAATTGACATATTTCAGCTAACAGATGGTGCCCTGGATGTGCTCACCAAGTTGTGCCAAGAAATCTGGAGAACAACCACTTGGCCAACTGACTGGAAGAGGTCTATAT